AGAGGTGCCCACCCAATGCCAGGTGCAGAGAGGTGCCCAGCCCTGTACCAGGCAGAGAGGTGCCCACCCCTGTCAGGTGCAGAGAGGTGCCCAGCCCGGTGCCAGGTTCAAAGAGGTGCCTGGCTCCATGCCAGGCACAGAGAGGTGCCTACCTGTGCCAGGTAGAGAGGTGCCCAGCCCTGTCAGGTGCAGAGAGGTGCCCAGCACTGTGCCAGGTGCATCGCAGCAGAACTGAGACCACCAGGCCCAGTCCATGGGCTTCCAGATGAGGCTCAGGCCGGCTGGCAGCCCTTGTGCCTGGGGATGCCTGCCCAGTGGCTCTGCTCCCTGATTCTCCTGCTAGTCCATGGGGTAGCCCATAGGCCTTGCCAGGCACACTGGAGAGAGGGGCTATGGCACATAGGATCTCTGGGGCCCCAGAAGGCCGCTGCCCCTCAGACTCTGTCCAGACCACTTGCCCCTGCCCAGGAGCATGGGCCCCCCCAGGCCCCAGTCAGAACTGGGAAAAAGGGGGCTGGGGGAGGCACCGAAAGCCCTCCCAGGGGAATGCTAAGCCCATGCCATCAGCCCCACTCTCTCCCAGTTAGGCAGCCCCCAGCTGTGCTGTACAGGATGCTGGGCAAAGTGCCACCGGAGGGGAGGAGCTGGGGGCCTCACCTTCGTTGAAGTCCCTCCCGAGCTCGTGGTTGGGGCAGCGCTTCACGATGTCGGTCACGTGCTCTGCCTTCTTGTAGACAGGCATGGCCCGGATGGCGGTGCCCGGGGGTGGTGGGGTGGACACCTTGATCTGGATGGGGCACGTCTTGGCGATCTGGCAGTAGAGTTTCTTCAAGAGTGGGGAGTACTGGGGTGGGGGAGAGGGAGCAGGTGAGACTGGTGGTCCCAACTGCACCCCTGTCCAGGCCACCCCCCATCGGGAGCCACGTTCTCCCCACGGGAGCCCCCTCCACAAGCCCCCGATGAAGGCTGCCCCGAGCAGCCCCTCTGCTGAGTCCCTGCAGGTGTCTGTCCTTCGAGGTGCGAATCCAGGCACGGCTGCCCTGGCACCCACTCCACAGCCATCGGGTCATTTGGGCTCCATGACAGCAGGGGTGTGAGTGCCGGTGGCAGCCAGGTGGAGAGGCTTTCGGTTTATGGATGGGGACAAGAAAGGCCAGGAGAGCAAGGAGGGGCTGCTGGAGAGTGAGGGCAGGAATGGGGGCTGGGAGCCAGGCCTGCGGAAGCCATGTCCCCGACTGCAGTGCTTTGAAGAGGTAGGTTTGCAGCTTTGAATCTGTTTTTAAGACCAGAGCTAGGCTTCTCTGGCATTTGCACAGAGCAGGTGGTTAATGTGTGATGGGCTGGGTGCCCACGATGCATTCAAGCTTCCATAGAGAGCTCTCTGGGTTGGTGTGTGAGTGAAGGCCTGTGAAGGTGTGAAGGTCTCTTATGGCCTCAGCAGCCCTGGTGACTCTGACAGCCTCTCCTGCTGGGGCCACCAAGTCTGAGCAGCTGAGCCAAGCCCCGGTATCCCCAGCTTGGGACTGGAGGAGCTAAAAGGTCTGTCCGGGGCCGACATGGGCCCTGCTGTGGGAGGACTGGATGACATCCTTCCTGATCCAGCCCCTGCAGAGGCCTCCAGCATCCTTGCCCCACAGGGCCTGGCTGCCCATCTGAGGACCCAGGCCGGCCCTCATGAGTTCTAAAAGGGATCCCGCTGAGGCTGCTGCAGGGGCGTCCACTCACTTCCAAGCTGGCTGATTTGCCAAGTGTCTGGCTCCTGGGCACCTGCTGGGAGTCCTCATGCCCTCTCCCCACAGGGCCATCAGGAATGATCCCCGGTCTCAGGTTCAGAGAATGACTTCTGCTCCCACCCCATGCCCTCTGCGCCCCTCACCAGCCCCCGATGACTCAGAATCACAAGTCACCGCAGCCACAAGTGCCCTGGAGAACGTCCCATCGCACTCCACCATGGAACAGTTGGGGAAACTGAGGTCAGACACAGGGAGCTACTGGCAGAACCAGGGAGGCCCTTTGCCAAGGAAGATAGGGAGCCCTGACCCCCTGACCCCCACTGGTTACCTGTGCTGCCTCTCTGGCCATCAAGGGACACGAGGGGCTCTCAGGAGCCATATAGGTCCTTGGTAGGTGCAGGCACATGAAAAGCGAGGAAAGAAAAAGGAGGAAAGAGACAGGGGAGATGGAGCTGATGGAGCCTGCGAGCCATGGTGGGTGGGGCCTGGGTCTGCAGCACCCTCAGCACCCCTGTCTCTGCACCCCTCTTTGATGAGTTACTTGGGATCCCCGAATGGGACCCAGCCAGGAACGCTGGCCTGTCCCTGCCGTGGGTGTGAGGGGACTGCAGGGACAAGTGGAAGGGGGTCTTTCAGTGGCCTCCTCAGGATGGGAATTGGATACCAAAGGGCTGGCCCCTCCTAGATCCTCCATCCATCTGGAGCCCCTGGAGCTAGAGTGGCTCCACTGCCCCTGCCTGCGACCCCCGCTTTGGGCACAGGGCCTTAGGCAGGAAGCTGCCCATCCCCGGTCCTGTTAAAAATGCAGAAAGGAACCATCATGCACAACCCCGAAGGCGAGGCTGGGCGCTGTTTAGAAAAGCAGGAAACAGGTCGGGTGCAGTGGCTCACGCCTGTAATCCCAGCACTTTGGGAGGCCAGGGCAGGCAGCTGGGGTCAGGAGTTCGAGACCAGCCTGGCCAATACGATGAAACCCTGTCTCTACCAAAAATACAAATATTAGCCACGCAAGGTGGCGGGCGCCTATAGTCCCAGCTACTCAGGAAGCTGAGGCAAGGAGAATTGCTTGAACCCGGGAGGCGGAGGTTGCAGTGGGCCAAGATCTCACCATTGCACTCCAACCTGGGTGACAAAGTGAGACTCCATCACAAAAAAAAAAAAAAAAGGAAAAAAAAAGAAAAGGAAAGCAGAATCAGCCTTGCAGAGCCAGCAACCCTCAGCCTCAGCCCTGTGTGGGTGACTGCCCTGGACAATTGGAGCTGCAGCCTTGGGCACGGCAGGAAGGACGGCAGTCCCCTTGTTGTGGGGTCAGTCTGGCTTCCCTGGAGGTGACCGCTGACGTACAGTGTCCCCACCATTGCAAATGCCCCCTTTGCTCCCCACAGCATCATTTGGGAGGATAAGCGGGTAGCCCCGTCCCCAGGGCACATGGGAACAGCTCACAGTTCAGATCCTTGGAGACTTAGACCCACAGGAGACTCAGACAGGGCTCTCCGCCCGACCTTGGAGTGGACTGTGTCCAGACACTGGTCTCGTGGACAAAGGCCCGGCCTGAAGCCACACACCATGCGTGGCCTCCATCTGCGCTGGCTGGGGACAGAAAGAGGAGGGGCCAGGTGGTGGCAGGCTCTTGCCTGCCAGTGTCCCGAGCAGGGGAGAGGAACACAGGGCCCGCAGCTGTGTCGCCAGGCTTCTCTGAGGCCAGGGCAGCCTGCAGGGCAAGCTGCCCATCGCTGAGCATTTACGGAGCACCTCTTGTGTGCAGAGAACACAGGCCCCCTGGAGTTTAGGTACCTGGCTCTGTCCCCCTCGTCTCTCCTCAGTAATGTGTAGCAGCTGGAGGTATGCAGTTGGTACTCAATAAATGCCATCCATCCTAGCCACTCCCTAGGGAAACCACAGAGCAGGGAGGAGGCGACAGACCCCCCCTTGAAGCAGACCCTGGCCGAGGTGGCTCAGGTTAGAGTCTCAGGGGCATCAAAAGGAGAAGGGCCTCTGAGGTCTGGCCTTGTGGGTGGCAGTTTTGGCTCTGTGCTCTCCTGCGGGGACACCTCGAGCCCCTGCACAAGCCTCTCCGCCTGCATCTGTGACTCACTGCGTGTCCCCTGGGAACACAGTGGCCTGCAGGTGTCAGTGGCTACTGCACCCTTGTCATTCTCAGCACCAGGTGAGGAGGTGTTGGTTGTGGGGTGCTGGAGCTACACATGCCCCGTTCCCCCGCAGTTCCCTGTCTGGGGCTGAGTCCCCCGAGGCGTCTTCCACCCTGGTGCCCCAGTCCACGGCCTCAGGTGGGGGTCATTAGATCCACCAAGGAGCCCCAGACACTCAGGGGGAGGGGAGGCCTCCTGGGCTCCTCAGTCGGTTGGACACAGATGGAGTAAGGCTCTGGGTGCAACCAAGCCTGAGGGCAGAGGCCCCGGCAGCCCCCACTCCCTGACAGCCCCATGGAGTCTCAACAGCGTGAGGGGTTTCACAGCTCCTGCCTGGCCCCTGCAGCCCTTCCCCTAGGCCCCTGCCCCAGCACCCCCGGCCATAGTCCTCTGCGGAGCCTTAGCTCCCGCCCGCCCGCGTGGGCCTCAGGGTCAGCCGTGCTCCCATTTCGCAGACCTACGCAGCAGCAGCCTCTTGGCAGCGCCCTGCTGAGCCCGCCCCGCTCCCTCTGGGGCTCCAGGCAGGGTGAAGTGGCGATTCCTGCTCTGGAAGCTGCGTGGTGGGGCGTCCCAGGGCCAGGGCGCACGAAGTAGGTGCAGGGCCCAGTGCGTGCTTCTGTCTGCACTGTCTGAGGGGCTCCCGTCGGCATGAGGTCTTGGGGGCCCAGGCGCGGGGAGCACTATGGACGCCCAGCCCCGCCCCGCCCCGGGGAGGAGCTTGGGCGCGCGGGAGCTGTCCCTGGTACCTGGTGCAGGCGGCGGCCGGACCACCCACCCCGGGAAGTGGGGGCTGGGACTGGAGTGTGGAGTGACCTAGGTCGACCTGGGCCAGTGGTGGAGGGAGGCCCAGGCCTCAGGGTGGACAACAAGGAGGCCACTGCCCTCAGGCGATGTGAGCACCCCTCCTCCCCTCTGGCCGGTAAGGCCACCAAGGTCCTGGGCCTGGCTCTCCTCCCCACAGGGGTGTCCCCATTGCAGTGCTCACATGGCCTTCGGGGCACACATGCCTGGCAGACCTCACCCTGGCACCAGCTGGACCCCAGGTGCCCAGCCTGGCCGGAGTTGGGTGACCTCGGGGGGGAATGTCTGTGATGTCCCCTGTCCTGGCAGCATCTGGGGGTGGGACATAGGTAGCCACAGGAAGGAAGGGAGCCCTGAGAGATCCAGGTCCTTCCAGAGGGTGGCTGAGCCCAGGACGGCTTGAGCCCTTCCCCAGCTCCTTCCTCCTATCTCCCCAGCAGGCCTCTGGGCTTCAGGCCTGGGATTGGCCCTGTGGAAAACAGGCAGGAGGAGGAGGACTCCGGTGGAGCCTATTCTATAGGAAAGGTCACGTGGAGACGGTCCCTCTCTGCCACCCCCCTCCTACCTTCTCCTTCCCTAGAACCGCTAGATGGATGTGTTTCAACAGATTCTGAGCTGATAAAATCGTATTTATCTTCGGCTGTTGACACGGAGCCGCCTGGACTTGCCTGCCCAGGGTGCATGCGCCATCCTGCTTGCAGGAAAGGGTTTGCCCAAACGCCACTGCACCCATCCCTCCCCACGCTGCCGGCTCCTCTCCGACCCTCCTCTCCTTCCCCTCCTCCCCCGCCCCAGTCCAACATGGGCCCGGCCTGGCTGGGAGCCCTGGGCCTGGCAGGGCTGGTGCGGGGGTGGGCGAGGGGCGGGTGCGGCGCGGGGCTGCTAATTTCCTCATGCCCGCTCCTCGCTCCCCGGCAGCTGGGTGCCCGGCACGGGCAGGTTTGGGCAGGAGGACAGCGGAGAGGTGATAATAACTTGTCTGTCATTTTCCCGGGACGTGTAGCATCTTGCAAACCGCAAATACCGTTAACCAGTGTGGGTGAATCTGTTGCGACAGATTCTGGAAGATGGGGCCTGCGGTGGGGGCTTTTATTTTTTAAATGATTTTTTTTATTGCCCACTTTTATCCACTTTCGTTGCTTGTGTGTGCATGTGTGTGTTTAGGGGCGCGTCGCTCTCCTCTCTAGGGTTACAGGCCTCTTTGAGCCCACCCTCTGCCAAGGCCATGGACCCTTCCTCTCCCTAGAAAAGCTCCTGGGGCTAAGCCACAGAACCCTTGCCATTAAATTCATGGGTTCACAGATGGACCCCCCAAAACACGTGCACGAGCCAGGGTCAACAGCCTGTGGATTAGGGTCCTCCTGGGTCCCTTTCTCCTTCTGAGAGAGGAAGGGTATCCTCGGGTGGCAGCCACAGGGCCCCCTCGGTGACAGCCCCCTTCATGGGAGGCTGTGGCCGTCACTGGTGCACAATGTCACTGTAACCCTCAGAGAGCTGCTGGGAGCACAGGCTGGGCTCTGACAGATGTCAGAGAGGCCTGGCCAGATGTCACAGGGTTGGTCCCTCCCTGCCCCAGGGAAGCCAGCAGCCTGGGGAGGGGGAAAGGACACATGTGGCAATCGCCCCTGTTTCAGGACACCCTGGTGTTAAGCTGGGGCTCCCGTGGTCAAGGCAGTGACAGCTCACTCACCAGGACACCCACAGCCCACAGGCCAGGCAGATGAGAGGCTCGAGCTAGCTTCAGAATGCCTGTGAGGCCACAGCCAGGGCCAGGCCCAGCACTGCCCAACAAAACAGGCTGCTGTGAAAGAGCTCCTGGCTGGGGCTGCCGCGGACAGATGTGTCTGCTGCCAGCCGAGGCTCCCAGGCCAAGAGCTCTGTGGAGGAGGAACCAGAGGCAGAAACATCCTCTGCAGATGCCAAGTGATCCTCAGCCATGACGGAGGCCTGGTAGAGCCCCAGAGGCTGTGGACAAGAAGCCGCTCCCTGGGGACGGCAGGCCAGGGGCTAGAGGGACCCTCAGGAGCTGGCAGCCTGCCCCACCGTGACCTTGAGCCATGTCCTAAACAGGTGAGCAGCAGCCACACGGGGGACTCTCACGGCCTGGAAGCGCAGCTCCCTGGGAGACACTGACTACACCCCCTTCAGCCAAGGCCCAGAGGCCACAAAGCCCCCAGACCACAGGAGCTGGAGCCAGCTCGGCCCTCGTCCCATGCACAGCTGCCTCTAGGGATCTCTGTCCTGGGCTACGATCAGGGAGGGTAGGGGAGGGAAGCAGGTATGTGCTGAGCCCAGGACAGACTTGGTGTCTTTGTCTCCAGTGCATAGTGAAGGCCCAGGGGTCCAGTAGGGGACGAGGGCCACAGCCAGAGGAGATAAGCGGGGTCTAGTGTGGGGGGAGGCTGGGAGGCAGCATTCACCCGAGGCATCTGCCTCTGCTGGTGTGGAGACCTGGGGAGACGGTGAGCGCTACCTACCTGCTGGGGAATGGGGCACAGCTGCGCTGCCTTCTCCATGGGGCACCCAGGTCTACCCTCATGGCTACACCCACTGCCGATTGGTGCCTGCCCTGTGCGGGGCCCTCATCCAACCTTGGTCCTGGGAGGTCAGGCACTGTCACTCCGTTTAGCGACCCAAACCTGCCTGCTAAGCTGGGGTGAACCGGCACCCAGACCAGAGCTGTCTGACCTCCAAGCTCCATCTCCCAGCCCTTTGTCACTGCCGGGCTTGACTTGGGGCCTGGGGTCGGCGTCTGGGCAGAGACCTGCCTTAAGCACCCCTGGGTTCCAGGAAGACTGGGCACTACAGAGGTGTCAGGTCGGACACAGGCTTCATACCCCGTGGCTGGGCTTAAGCTCCTCAGGGGTAAGGGGAACAACAGCCAGGGGCCTCACTTGCCCTGGTCCTGCTGGGGAGGGGTCTCCATGGACAATAGAGACTGAGACTCACACAGACTTCCTTGTGTCTGGCTGGGATTGGGTGGCCCGGCCTGGACAGCTCCAGCCTCTGCTTTGCTGCCGAGATGCTGTGTGAGGAGCTCAGGGCCCAGTCCACACCCGGTCGCCGCTGTCCTGATTCATAGCGGCGGGCGCCCGGGTGGGTGCTATTATCACTATCACTGTGCCCAAGCCCAGGAAAGAATGAGCTGCCCAGGCAGGGTGAGGAACTCCATCTGCTCTTATTCCAGGACCCAGGTACCCCCTCTGGGGCCTTGGGGACAGAGGGGGTGGCAGAGCAGTGCCCTGGGTCCGTGGAGACAAAAGCTGGGCTTGCAGAGGGCCCTGGAACGCCCACCAGCAGCTGCCCCTCGGCTCTGAAGACACGGAGTATTCAAAGCACCGCACTCAGCCTCTGCCCCCAGCTGGGACCAAGCACAGGGTCCTCTGCCCACAACTTGCTTTTTGACAGCGCCATCCTGTTGCCTGGCCTCTCCTCTGGCCTCTGGCAAGGACCTAGCTAGCGGGGCTGTGGGCCAGGCCCTGGATCTGTCCCGCACTGTCCCGCAAGAGGCCCAGCAGGCTGGCAGCAGACCTGCTCTGCTCACTGCAGAGAGGGCCCCTTAACTGCTGGGGAGGAAACCCCGCCATCCTCGTCCCCACTATCCTCACCCCCACCCTGACTTGTGGCTTTGAGGAGAAGCCAGGATTAACCCAGCCTTTTGAGGCCCGGCTTTGTCAGCCGTGGGGATTGGAAGGGTGCCCCAGGGTCAGTAGGTGCCCTCTGCTCACAGGATACCCACTCTGGTTGCAGCTTCCTGGGACAGCCTTGGGGGCTGGAATTGGCAGCAGCTGGAGGTGGCTGGGGACAGTGGAGGGAGGGGAGTAAGCTGTGGACATGGTGGTAGGGGGGTCCCTCTTCAGTGTTTAAGGTAATAGTTGGCTAGAATCTAGGTTTTGCTAAACTTTGTAACTCTTCAGTGAAATGCCAGGGGCAAGGAGAATTTTGGCCTCTAAATCTCTGACCCCCTGCAGAGAGTGGCGTCTCCCCAATGCCAGGTGCAAGGAGTTGGGTGCCTCGCTCCAGTGGCATGGCTGGGGGAGGGGTGGGTTTTCAACCCTTGGGGTGGCCCTGGGCTTTAGGGAACTCCCCTGTGCGGTTTCCCCATGGGATCTGACTTCTGCTTCACTGAAGCCTGGAGTGCTGTTCACTTCTCCACAAGTCTTTCTGCCCTAAAAAGCACTGCACCGCTCACAGCCTCTGCAGCCCCATCACAGCCCCCAGCTGTGGACACCAGCCTTGGCCGCCACCTGAGCCTCACGCTGTCCGCCTGGAGTGCAGAGAAGATGCTTTTCTGTCCAGCCAGGACACCCTGGAATTGTCTGACCCCCTCTTCCTGGGGCTCCTTGGAAAAGGGACAGAAGGTCTGGAGGTGGCTCAGGGGCTTCTCTACCCAGGGGCAGGGACTGGGCCTCCAGGGTCCATCCAAATACCTTGAGTGTAGCTTCTACTTTTGGAATCTCAGAAAATCCCGGAAGTGACCACTGGCCTGGGGTAGCAGAAACCCACCAGACCGGGAAGCAAAACTTTAACTCACTGCCCAGCTGAGCCCCTCACCTTGCCCTGAGTCCCACGTGGCCCAAGGTCCAGGTCACCCAGGACCGCATCTTGGCATCAGCACTAGGTCCAGGAGAAGCCGGGGACAGTCCTCCCCTGCGGGCCTCTCTTTCCCCCTGTCAACGGGAGCTAGTGGTACTGAGGCCAGGCCTGGGAGGGGCGAAGGAAGAGGGGGCAGGGAGGCACCAGGAGAGGCCGGTCCCCAAGCCTAGCTGCCTGGCTTCTCGCCCGGGAGGCTGGTCAGCCTCGGAGCAGTCCAGTGATAGAGTGTTTCTGAGGGATTTCCCTTTGTCAATAAAACCAGGCAGTGAAAGCAGACAGGGATGGACTCTCCACCCCCAGTCCCAGTTTGATTCACTGGCAAACAGCAGTGGAAGGCTCACGGAGGCCGAGGCACAGCCTGGGCTCCCCCCACACCCTGCTCGGTCCAAAACTTTCTCCCCTAGGGACAGGCAGGTCCCTCTGAGGGGTCAGCACCTCCTTATCGCTGGTTCCCCTGGGGGTCCTGACGGTCATACGGACCTGCCCCACAGAACTGGGAGCAGAGGGTTGGGCAGGGGGCAGGGGCTGCTCATGGGGACCTGTCCAGGGACATGCAAGGGCCGAGGGAGCCACCACATGGGCTGCAATGGCAAGGTTAGGGGTCTGGCTGCTGGGGCCAGGCCCAGCTCCGCCCTCTGCTGACAGGTGACCTTGGTGTGTCCTCTGGGAGCCTCAGTTTCCTTATCTGTAAAATGGGGAGCATGGGAGGCCCTGCACACAGGGGCAATGTTGCTGCCAGTGCTACTAATCAGACGTGCTGGGTCCACAGGGCTGTGGACTGGAAACAAGTCCTAGAAAATAGATGATTCTTCCTGAAACGTAAATTGGATCATGCCTCTCCACAACAGCCTCACGACTATGGAAGGGAATCCTGTCCCCTGAGGGGTTCTCTCTCCTGTCTCCTCCAAGAACCAGGCAGTGTGGGGTGGGGCAGCAGGACCCAGGGTCTCAGAGCTGGGGCCTCCGCAGCCTCACTCGGGGCCTCTAAGGCTAAGTTCTGTGCCCTCCAGGGCCCAGGAGTGAGTTCCTCTGGCTGCTCCAGCAAGTGGAGAGAGAAGAGCCGACTGGCCCCGGAGGCACCGACCACAGCCCGAGCGGGCCTGCTGGAAGCTCCGACCCTGCCGCAGATCCCTGCGCCGCACGATGTGAACAATTGCTGCAATCTCACCCTAAGTACTCTTGTTTCCCCTAATAATCCACATTTCATCTCCACAATAAACATTGTTAGAACTCTTCCCTCAGCTTTACGCACATATAATTGCTTCTGGTGCCAGTAAAAGGTATTAATTCCACTCATGCATTCCATAAACTTTTAGGATAACGCAATTGATACCACGATCGTGTTGGGACACCTCCGCTATTATTCTCCCGCTTGCAAGCCTCCGAGGCGCTGGGAAGGTTGCTCCAGACCCATTAGTGTTGACTCAGCCTCATTCTCCCCAGGAATCCTGAGCAAAGCCTTTATGCTTCCCTGACCATCCTTCCATATGTCTCTCCTGGGGGGGAGCTTTCCTAGACGTGGAGTCAGCTCTCCCCCAAGACGAACATGTGCGCGCACGCACACACACATGCTGAGTCTGAGAGCAGCTGGAGGGCACTCAGGGGGCTGTGTCCAGCCCCCTGTGTCCATCTCTCTGTCTGGAGGGATACTGGGGCAGCTGGCCATCGCACCTGTGTGTGTCCTCATCATCCTGCCGCTGCAGCCTGCCTCGTGGGCTGTGGGTGGTGTCACTCAGCATGCCCTGAGGTGCCCATAGATGCTGTGCTGGGCCAGGGCTTCCAACCCCACAATGCTTTCCTGCCTGACCTCAGAACCCTGTCCCCAAACTTCCCAAATACCAAGGACAGCCACCTTCCCCGATGAGGCTGAGCTGGGGGCAGAACGGCTGAGCCGGGGTGTCACAGCACCCGATGCCCATCACCTTGGGCTGTTCCGACAGCTAGAGGAACTCCTGTTCATTCTCCTCCCTGAGGGCCTCCTGGAATCAGCTGTCTGAGCCACTGCCAACCTGCAGGGCTCCCAGGACAGGAGTGGCCAGCAGGGCTCAGAGGCCAGGCCACGCCCTGCAGAGAGCTCTGCCCATGCTCTGACCCCACACTGTCCCACAGAGGGTGTTGAACTGGGAGAAGGGTACTGGTGTCACCATCAGCACTGCACTCACAAAGAGCACACGTGTGTGGAGTGCTCCCCAGGCACCCTGCCCTGCCCTAAGAAGTCCCAAGAGCCAGCTCCTTTGTCCCTACCATGGCTGGCAGGCCACACTCTCTCTGCAGGTGAGGATGCCAGGGCAGAGGGGCGAAGGAGCAGATGCTCCCAGGCAGACCTGGGATCAGGACCCCAGTAGGTGCCAGCTCTACCCCTCTCACCATGCAGGGTCCCTCTCACCAAACGCCAGCCTTGCCCTGTCACTGGTCACTGGTTACACTCTCGTGGCTAAACACAAATCCTTCCTCTGGCTCTCGGTTACCCATGACCCGCCTCCTCCTCCTCCTGGCTTTCCATGGGTGGGAGCTCTAGAATCCTGGGCAGCGACGGGGGGAGGCCTGTGCATGTACATGCCTGGCTGTGTGTTTCCATGTGCCTGCATGTGCATAACGGACTTGTGTATCCATGCATGTGCATGCATGTGGGAGGGTGCCATGTCTGTGTGTGTATTCACACATATGCACAGGCCTGTGAACCGCAGCCTCCAGACCCCTCAGTGCCCAAGGAGATCTGAAGTCTGAGGGAAGCTGCTTAGGACAGATGGACACCCCCAGGGCTGGGCCTCAGCAAAGCCGAGGTCAAAGACCCCAGTAGCAGCTGTGGTCACCTGGGGACTGGTGAGGGTGTTTTCCTGACTGGGGAGAAAGGAGGGCGGCAGCCAATGTGGAACTGTACTTGAGAAAAATAAGAATTATCCATCAGTTACCAGCCGGCTGGTGTGCCGGGAGCCCAGGGAGCCACGGTGCGGAGGCCGGACGCAAGCCCAGGCAGCAGGTCTGGGCAGTGCCCGCACGGTGGGACCCCAGAACTGGGAGCAAGTGGGCTGTCTGGAGGCCCTGTCCCACACTGTGAGCCGACCACCTGCCTGCCCCTCCCTGGGCAAGGGAAGAAGCCCTGGTGGAGGGGGTTCTGCCCCCAGAGAGCTGAGGTGCCAAAAATCTCATTATCAATGTGTGTTCCACCTCCACCCCCTGGATCCACAGGGCTTCGGAGGAGGAGCCCTGGGTGCAGGCGACAGCATCCTCTTCCCCAGCTCGCGCCCCAACCCCCAGCCCCAGCATCCACAAAGCCCAGCAGGGAGGGAGCGAGGAGGCGCTGCTCCTCTCCTGGGCACCAGGCAGAGCCTTCCCCTCCCCCGGGTGCGGCTGACCAGCCCGTCCCGCAGGGCAAGGCCGCCCCGTCCGGCAGAACAAGGCAATTGAGACAAAACCATGAAGTTCCTTGAACCTGATGCCACACCTGGCAGGAGGTGGGGGTGGCAGACACCCCAGGTGGGGGACGTCAGCCAGCAGAGGGGTTTGCTCCTGTCCTTCCAGGAAGATCAGCGCAGACCACATGCAGTGCGCCCCAAGCACAGTGGAGACCCCGCCAGCATCCCCAGACCATGGGAGGAAGGGAGGTAGAGCTCTCACAAGCTGCCTGCCAGGACTGCAAGGGGACACTCTCTGGAAACCACCAGCATCGTAAACCCCAGGGCAGGAGGTCAGTGTCCCCAGAGGGGAGAGAGTGGACTTGGGCAACAAGCCTGAGCGTGGGAGAGAAGCAGTGGAAAAGCTCCCGCTGCTGGAGTGTGCAGGTGAGGATGCCTTGGGGCCTTCTGACCTGGCTTCAGGTGGCCTCACCGGACCTTCAAGCGGGGTGGAGGGATAGTCCTGGTCTCCCTTGCCCCACAGGCAGGTGCAGCTGCCACAGAACCACTCATTTGGGAGGCCCAGGCCAGCATGCCCACCACCACCACAATGAAGACAACACATGGGCCTCCTGCTGCGAGCTAAGCGCTGTGCTGACCACGGCCCCAGCACGGTCTTCCCATCCTTATCTCCATCGTGCAGTAAGGAGCGTGGAGGGGTAATTTCCAAATGGAGAAAACGGGGCGTTAGGGCTGGGGTCGGCATTCCCTGCCAGATGGGGGTGGGAGGCCCTGGAGGAGGTGACAGGTCCTCTGCCCCTTGGCCCAACAGCCCACAGAGCCCCTTCCCATCAAGCCCAGGGAGTCTGGGCTGAGCCTTCTCTTAGCCTGGAGCCAGCAGTTGGGGGAGCCCATGGCTGGAGTGAGAATCAGAAACAACCGCAGGTGGGGGCGGGCGGGGCCTGGAACCCAGACCCCAGACCAGCCCAGCAGGACTGTCCAGCTACCTGCAGAGCCTGACAGGCTACCTTAGGCTCCGCCCTGCCCCTCGGTCCTCCAGGAGCGTGGGAAAACCGCAGCTATGGCCGGCAGCACAGTGGGACCTGGTTCTTAAAGCGGAAAAACCCGAGGGGCCTTTTCTCAGCACTCCCCACAGTGGGTGGGAATGCAGCTGCCTTGCACGGACTTCAGGGGGCCAGCACTGAGCTGTGCCCAGGGGAGGCGGGGCCTCGTGGGGGAGGGGACGCTGCCCAGTGGGCTGGACCGCCCATGTGTCCCATAGAGCCCCTCCTGCAGCCACGGCCCAGGTGTCCGGGCAGGGCTCCCTTGCCCCCTCCTCGGTGCAGGAGGGGAAACCCGGAGAGCTCTTGGGGCTGCTCTTCCCGCCCAACCCCTGCGTGCCCTCCACTCCTGGCTGGGGTCATGCAGCCTTGACCTTGCCTCTCCTGACAGACCCCCGCCCCGGAAGCCGTCTGGGCAGGGCAGCTCAGTGGGTAGGAATACAGATGCAGAGTTGGTGGCCCCCACTTACTATGAGCAGAACTCTGGGCGAACCACTTCCCTCCCCGCGCCTCAGCCTCCTTGGCTGTACAAGGGAGCAGTGATGGAGTCAGACCCGTGCGTTGTTGGTGGGTGCAGGAGTTAGCTCAACTCAAAGCCCTGAGCACGGTGCCTGGCTTGAGGAGAGTGGCCGTGTGCACAGGTGATGTTATCAGAGTTAGCAAGATCCCCACCGTGGGCCAGGCTGTCCCCAGGGGCACCGCAGTGAGGACCTGAGTCCTCTGCACGGTGGTTCCACCCCATCTCCTCGGCACATGCCAATTCCTGGAAATGACACCCCAGAGACAGTGCTGGCAAAGCCCAAACCCACCCACCCGCAGATGCGTCTCGCTGCCTGGAGGAGGCAGGTTCCGCAGACCCTAGGCTGTGGGCCTGTCTTGGACAGACAACTCTTGGCAGCAGAGCCCCTGCCTCTGCCCAGGAGAGGATTTCAAACCAAAGCCCTTACCTGAGCATGGGGAAGCCGCCGGCCAGTCTTGGCGGAGACCTCAGCAGCCGGGCCAAGCCCGTCCCCTCTGGGGCCCTTTGGAGGCTGACTTTCTCTGGCCACTCACGTCCAGAGGGGTGGGCACACCCAGACTGCCCGGCCCTGAGACCCGCCTCCTGCCCGAAGCTCCTCCCGGCTCGGGCCAGGTGGGAGCCCCGAGCAGACAGTGGGGCGAGCTCGGACCTCTTGAGGTGCGGGGAATGCGGCCACCTCCTTTCCAGCCCGCAGCTCACAGCCCGCAGGGAGCAGGGGACTCACCGTCCAGGTGGCTGACTTGGCCGTGCTGGACTGCTGGAAAGTGACCTCGAAGTGGTGGGGTCCGGGATAGTCGGTGTTGGAGGGGATGACAGGCGCGGGCGACATGGTGTCGAAGGTGGAGCTGGGCTGCGCGTAGGGTGAGTGGGTGGGCACGCTGGCGGCGTGCTCCGGGGTGTACGGGCTGGCCGAGGCCGCGCGGCTGCTCATCTGGTCCATGGTGCTGCTCAGCAAATTGAACTGGGCCTGGCGCGGGAAAGGGGAGGAGGGAGGGGAAACACACACAGTCAGTCCTCCTGTCCCGTCTAGGAGGTGTCCTGTTACAGGAGCCTTAAAGGGCCAGCGGCTCCAGTCATCCCAAATATTTCCCCGGGTCTCTCCCCCATCCCAACAGGCCACTACTTGCGTTGGGATAAACTGACATATTCACCTCGCCCTCCCCTCCATCAGCCTCCCGGTGCCAGGGTTTCTGGGGATCCACCCAGCCGTTGATGAGGCGGAATAGACTCTCTGCACACCTGGAGGGGAGGCGTTGGGTGGGGGAGGCTCCCAGGCCCTGATGCCCACACGGGCTTCGCTGCACGCTCTGGGCAGCATCTGGGTCTGGACCTCACAGCTCAAAGTGGGGAGATCTAGCCCCAGAGAGCCAGGCAGCGGGTGAGGCGGGCCAGGCACAAGTGGGCCCTGAGTGCAGGGTGCGCACACCTGGGCTTGGGTGCGTGGGTGCCCCTGAGGTGCTGGAGACCAGATTCGGGCCCCCACTAGGCCTGGCCCTCTAGGTGGTGGGATAGGGTGGGGGCTGCTGTTCAATGGCTGAGCCCTGTTTTCCCAGGTGGGCGGCCTCGTCTCCCGGTGAACGGCCTCACCCACACTGGAAAGGCCGCTCCGCGCTCAGGGGCCGGCGAAGCCCCCCCCCCGGTGCCCCCTGACCCGGGGTTCTCTCGCTGGGCCCCTACCCGCAGCTCCCCCGCCAGGACCACACACCAAGGAACAGGAACCCCTGTGAGTGCGTCCCCTGCGCCACCCTCTGTGGGCCGCCGGGACCCCAGCACGGATCAGCCTCTGCCAGGAGCTTAAGGGAGGCCCCAGCTGAGGGAGGGGGTGCTGGCCCGGCCTCGGTGTCTCAGATCCAGGGCAGGGCAGACCTCACTTGGTGGGCCACTGAGGAAGACCCCCCTTCCAAACCCGGAGGCGGGTACTGGAGGAACACTGCAGACGCATAAACAGCTTTCCCGTGACCCCCGAGGCTCAACGCAAACAAACTCCTTTACCCCTCTCCCCTGGCCTACGATGGGCACCGTGACTGTCCCCATTTTACAGATGAGGAACCTGAGCTATGGGGCTGGAGACACGATTGGCCCCAGGCATCCAGCGGCCCCAGCCGATGGCACAAAGGTCACCAGCAACCAGCAAGGTGCAGGCTGAGACCCCCAGACCGTGAACTGGGACTGCAGAGCAGGAAGGGGCAGAGCCAGGCGTAGGCGGGCGGCGGGGGGTCCTTCTGCCCTCTGCCCCTCTTTAGAGAAGCTGTGGCGTGCTGTGAGCGCACTCCCCCTCCCACCAGCCTGCCCCCTCCAAGCCAAAAAATAAAAGGTGCATCCCCCGCACACGAGGGTTTAGGGGCCTGGCTGGGACTCCCAAGCTCAGCCCCTTCCTGTACCTCAGCCTTCTCCATCAGAGGCGTTAGGTTTAGTGACCCAGAGGCCCTCGGCTCTGCAGGTCCTAGGACACACATCCACTGAGGTCCCTGATGAGGGCCACAGCCCCCGGCCCCTCCAGCATCCGATGGAGAAGGATACCGGGCAAGTCCAGAGTTTGCGTCCTCTCTGAGTCCTCTACTGAGTCCTCCACTGAGTGCTGTCCAACGTGGAGACAGCTCAGCCTGGGATGCTGGAGGGGCAGGAGACAGGGGACTGGTGCTCACCAGAGCCATCACCACTGTTCCCAGGGCCACCAAAGGTCAGGCAGGCACTTTCCCTGGGTGCTCCAGCCCAGGACAGCTAACAGCCCCCAGTAGGCCTGAGCCGCCAGGTCCGACCCGTGTCCTAGCTCCAATGCAAGGGTCTTGGCACGAGGCCTCGGCTGAAGCTGCCATCATCTGGCACCATTAAGCTGGCTGTGAGCTGTCAACCTGGGGAGCCCACCCACCAATGGAACGGGGACCCCTGCAGCACGGGCCCTGCCCACCTCTCTGGCACCAGTGCAGCCTCCTTCCTGGTCTGTCGCACCCCCCACAGCCTTCCTAACTTCCTGCACCACAGGCCCTTCCCGGGAGCCCAGGGTGCACTGAATGGCCAATGGATAAAGAAACTGTGTGTCTGGACAGTGGCCTCTTCCTCGGCCATAAAGACAGAAGGAAGCTCCCACACGCTGCCACATGGACGAGCCATGGAAACATGGTGTCAGGTTAAAACCATCACGGGGGGACGCCTGTAATCCCAGCACTCTGGGGACCGAGGTGGGAGGATCTCCTGAGCCTAGGAGTCTGAGGCTGCAGAGAGCCAAGCCCAGGAGTCTGAGGCTGCAGAGAGCCAAGATCACGCCACTGCCCTCCAGCCTGGGAGACAGGGCAAGACTTTGTCTCAAAAAACAAAACAAAACATAATATCCCAGGGAAGGGTGACCCTCACCTCTCCCGGCTCCTGGGCTATTGTGAGGGGGTCTGGGGAAGCAGCCACCGCCCTGCTCAGAGAACGGTGTAGAAAGGCCACTCCTGCTCCTCCTGGTGTCTGGCTTGGGGAACCTGCCACCCTGGGCACCAGCGAGCTGCCAGTAGGCTCCTGGCAGAGAGGATGGACCGTTGCCTCAGCCCCACACACGGGAGGTTGGGTGATGGTGGGGGTGACACAGGGCAGTGCCAAGCTCCGGCTGCACAGCACAGGCCCCGCCCCAGAGTCCCCGGTTCCCAGACTCCTCACCAAGGCCCAAGAGGTCTCCGAGGTGTCCGAGACCTGCTCCTGACCACAGGCCCAGGCCCTGCCTGGAAGCTGCACACGAATTCGTGGTCTGCACACGAATCCTCACCAGCCCTGTCTGGGCTCTCAGAGGTCACCGTTCTGAGGGGTCAGCCCTGGCCACACTGGCAGGAGCAGCCCCCAGGCCTCGGGTGTTCTCTCGTCACCCAGTTTGAGCATCTTAACAGCCACTCTCTGGAAGGCCAGGCTCACATGTCCCCCAAGGCTTCTGTCTCCCCTACTTGAGCGTGAACCCACGAGGACCCTGGATACGGTGGCCACTGGCCACACAGGGTTGGGGTGTGTGAAATGTGGATGGAGCCGAGCGCAGTGTGTGAGCGCACCCCGATTCCAAGGGCTCAGGGCCACGGAAAGAACAGAAAACTCCTCCCTCACTATTTCCTATTGATTACAAGCTGAAACCATCACAGTTAGGGGTGAATACAGGAAATAATTAAATGACTTCTGTCAGTTCCTTTCCATCTTTTTGAATGCGGCTACTAGAAAATGCAGAATTACACACGTGGCTCAGAGCCGACACCGGCAATCAGTGCTCCATTAGAGCGGCTGCTTGAGAGGCTCGCTGAACAAGTGAGCTGGTAGAACAAACGAACGAACGCAGGACGGCTCCCCCAGTCCAGCTGCCCAGAAGTGAGTACGGGACATGAGCCGGCCCCTCCCACCACTGGGTACCGGGTGCCAGCCTGCCCACCGCCCCCATGGTGCCCTCTCTCTTCCACGCAACCAGCGGCGGCCTTCCTGGAAGGGTCTTTCCTGTTTTGGGCCCTGGGATGGCCTCAGGGATGCAGGACTTCCCCACTCCTGACTCATGTGAGTCCCCTGGGCAAGAACATCCTGGGACTCAAGTGCTGCCCAGCTGAGGCTTCTCAGGTGAGGAAGGCAGGCAAGGGCAGGCCCCACGGTCCCCCCAACTGCCGACTCCCATTCCTGCTCCATCCCTGAGAACAGGACAGCCAGCGGGGCAAAGAGCGCGGGCCTCCCTTGTTTGGGAGAAGCAGGACGCAGACCCACGGCAACGTGGTTCATATTTTAACTTGTCCACATTCTTGAATGATCTGAGGAAGGTGCCAAGGAATTAGTCATTGAGGCAAGAGGAAAAGAGCTGATAGGATCTCTGCACCCAGCACAGCCCAGCGGGAGTGAGCCGGGCCCTTGCAGCAGGCAGCCCCACGCGGGAATTCTAATTAGTGGATAAGTGTCCGGACAGCAGGCCTGAAGCCCTCTCGGCGCCGTTCTCTGGCCGGGAGCCCCAGGCAGGCTCCCTTAGCAGGGCTTCTCCAGGCAGGGCCCCGATATCGGTCTCTCCCTCTGGTCCTCTCTGATCCTCAGGCTCAGTGACACCGGCGGGGGCCTCTGAAGCCCCCTCCTCCCCAGGGTTACTGGGCCTGTCCTCGTGCCCAGGGGACACTGTCCTCTCCTCCTGCTTTCAGGGGACCTTGCTCCCTGCACGCTGGCCCTGCCTGTGGTCACCGCCCCTGTCGCGTCCCCAGTGGGTGGCAGAGGCTTTGCAGCTGCAGCTTTGAGTGCAGCTGGGAACGCAGCGTCTGGGGAGTGTGGGTGGCTTTCTGGGTCACTGACCTCCCCCTTAGGCCTCCCCAGGCGTCCTCCACAGGCCCCTCCACCTGGCTCGGAGGATTCTGGTTTTCCCTTTTGCTTCCTGCCTGGCAGCAAGGAGCTTTGCTTGGGGCCTGGCTCCTGCGCGGGGTCAAGCTGCTGAAACAGGCAACCCTGACCCTAACACAGGCCTGCACGGGAGCCCAGGGTCTCCCAAAACCAGAGGGCCCCCGGAAACCGCAGGGAGGAACCCGGGCAAAACCAGGACTTTTTTGGTTTGTTTTGCTTTCAACAAGAGCTCCCAAGATAGTGGGCTAATTAGGACACGCCCGGCCCGCGGCGGCCACAAGTGCCTACATGTGTGTGCAGGGCTCCTGGGCCTGACCCAAGGAGTGCGCGGGAGCCAGGGAGCCAGCGGGTGGCCTTCCCGCCTGCCTCCAGGCCACGGACACACCAGGCCCTGCTGGGGCCCCAGGGCCTTGTTGCGGGGCAGGAGTGCTCTGCCAGGGCAAATCCGGCAGCCCCCACTCACCCACCTAGGGGACCTCGTCTCTCCTCCCTGCAGATGGGCTGGGGACCTCCCTGGGTGCACCTGCGCTCGAGATGAGCTCTGGGCTGGGGGCTGGGGTCCGGGGCCAGGGCGTGGGCAGCAGGCAGTGGTAAACGGAGCTGCTATCTAGCCTTGCCAGTCACAGGCATCAACACAGTTCCCAGACC